CTGGTATGGTATAACATGACGGACTGGCGAACATAAGTGACAGGCCCTCACGTAGAAATTCACGACATGCATGTCATGTGTGTCACCACTACACGCCACGCTTTATGGTGCGCTTGTGGTCGTTTCACTAGCTTCACATATACCAAATTTGGTATTACGTAACCCGAACGGACGAAGAAGGTAAATGGCCCGTTCAAACATGATAGTTATGGCATTCGTGCCATGTAAAACATGACAATATTCTACGCTCACAGCACGCTCGCGACCATTTCGCAAGCTACACTTATGCCAATTTTGGCGTCTCGTGACGTGAATATACGACGAAGGTAACCGACACGTCCAAACATGATATGTGGGGTTTTAACGTCCCAAAACCACCATATCTAGTGTCTAGTGGCGAAGTCCCGAGTGAATGGAAATACGCGAAAATCATTCCTATACCTAAATCTGAAAACAAGTCACTTGTGTCATCATACAGGCCTATTTCTTTGTTATGTACATGTGCAAAATTGCTTGAACACATAGTATTTAAACACATCTCCGCCTTCCTTGACAGAAACAACATAATTGACCCCCGGCAACACGGTTTTCGCAAAGGACTATCGACTACCACACAACTACTTGAGACAGTTCACGACCTCGCTAGTGCTCTAGATAGCCATAGTCAAATTGACATTATATTCCTTTATTTCGAAAAAGCATTCGACCGAGTCTCTCATTACAAGTTGCTTATAAAATTAAAACCGATCCTGAAAAACGATTCTTTACTAACATGGATTCGGGCAGACCTTTCCCATAGATACCAAAGTGTCTCTGTAGATGGCTCAAGCTCCACCCCCACTTCAGTTCAATCCGGTATACCACAAGGCTCCATCCTTGGCCCGCTTCTGTTTTTAGTATTTATTAATGATATAGTCTGTGACATACCCGTTAAAATAAGGCTTTTTGCAGACGACTGCATCCTGTACCACGTCATCAATGACCCCAACGACCAGATCACCCTAAACAAATCCCTGGATAAGATACACTCTTGGTGTTCGACTTGGCAGAAGAGCATTAACCCAAAAAAGACCGTCGCTATGAGAGTTACCCGCAAAAAAAGTCCCTTTCTTTTCAGCTATTGCATCAACAATAACTGTATATCTCTAGTTAGCAGCTACAAATACTTAGGGGTTATAATTACCTCCGACCTAAAGTGGAACGAGCACATAGAGTACACACAAAAAAAGGCAATGAAGGCACTTGGGTACTTACGCAGAACCATTGGAAAATCTACCAAAGAAATTAGAATGTTGGCGTACAAAATTTACGTGAGACCTATACAGGAATACGCGTCTCCTGTGTGGGAACCTCATACATCGGCAAACATTGAAAAACTGGAATGTCTACAAAGAAAATTCATAAGGTTTATTTACAACGCTTATAGAAGAAACACATCCCCCTCGACCATCCTTGAAAGTTCGGACTTGGAACCCTTAGAACACAGGCGCTCCAGTGAAAGACTGAAACCGTTTTTATCAGATCTATCACAGTAACCTTGAAATTGATAAAACTAAATATATTCTACCATCGAAATCACGTATAACCCGGTCACACCACAGCATGAAAGTCCAGGAATTTTCATGCAGAACCACTGCTTTCCAAAAATCATTTTTTCCCCGAGCAGCACGTAGTTGGAACGCCCTGCCCGATGAAGCTGTTTCATCCACAACTGCCGCTTCATTCATGAATGCGATAGCAAATCTGCCAGCTATCCTTTGAACTTTTTTCTTTCTTTCTTTTTATTTCATTGTCACCGCATTTAATCTCTCCCGTGTGTGTCTGAGTTGTATTACTTTCCTATGTTCAGCGCTAGCTCAGTTGTATCACGCTTCGTCGATTGTGTCGGTATGTGTTTTTCTCGCCTTTTTTTGTCAACAAAACTTGCTCATTCTGAAGCGCTGCATTGACTTCAATGTTTGTAAATCCCTATTTTTCTTCTGTATTTCCCCCGACATATTTTTTCTGTTTTAAGCTTCTGTTGTTTTCTTGCCCTGGAAAATGTCCAATCAAGTGTATCTGTCCCCCACTCCTGTCTACGTCTTCGCATAGAAGTCGGCAGTATTCACTAAATAAATAAATATGATTACGAGAGGCGCCGTAGTGGAGGGCTCCAGAAATTTCGACTACCTGGGGTTTTTTAGCGTGCACCCGAATTTGAGTACACGGGCCTACAACATTTCCACCTCCATCGGAAATGCAGCCGCCGCCACCGGGATTTGATCCCGTGACCTGCGGGTCAGCAGCCGAGTACCTTAGCCACTAGACCACTGCGGCGGGGCCACGTCCAAACATGATAATCATGACACGCGTGTCATGTAAAACATGATTACATGCTACGCTCATAGCGTGCTTTCGGCCGTTTCGCTAGCCCCACATATACCAAATTTGGTATCACGTGACATCAATAGACGACGAAGGTGAGTGACACGTTCAAACATGACAATCATGACATGGAAGCCTTGTATGGCATAATTTACGTCCGCCTCGTAACGTTGTGCTGATTTTAAATTGACATATCAACCTTCCTCATTTGCGCTTTGCATGTAGTCGATTCGCACTTTACGTGGGATCTGCCAATTTTTTGTTTAAACTTGTAAACTTTGATGTTGACTCGTCTGTTATGAATCTCCTGCACAGCTATCTGCGTAATAGGTCATGTTATGATGCCGTAAAGAGCCACAGGTTTTCCTTGTACGAAGGTAGTAGTGGAGTCTCTCAAGGGTAGGTATTAAGCCCACTCTTATTTTCAATTTACGGTAACGACGTTTCTTTTCAATTATTTCTTTTTTTATGTATGCTGATGACATTAAGATATTTAAGGAAATTCAGTTAACGACTGTCGCTTGCTGCAGTCAGATTTGTGTTATTTCTTCGAGTGGTGTGATAACAATAACCTATGTGTGAATACCTCAAAGACAAAATTCATGAGTATATCTCGCAAAGCAACCATCGTGTTATTTCCATATACTGTCAAGTCTGTGTTTTTATGTAAGGTATATGAATTCAGTGATGTTGGTGTTCTTTTCAATAGCATGCTAAATGTTTCTGCTTACACTAAACGTGCTGCCATGCGTGGCCTTCGTTCTCTTGGCTTTGTTTGTAGAATCTCTCGAGAACTCAGTTCTCATACAGCCTTGCACAAATAATACTCCGCAATATGTCTTCCTGAACTTGAATATGCATCTTGATAAGACAGATGTTTGGACTAGTTGTTGATTTGCACAGCGGGATTTTCACAATAGGAATTTGCACAGCGCAAGACTAAAGTAGTTATGGCGTAACTAGGTAAGAAGAGGCAAAGACAGAAAAGAGCGCCGACTTCCACTGAAATTTTATTCACAATGTCGACTGGCCGCTTTGAGTCATTGTTTCGGAAAATTGGACGCGGGAGAAGGAAGTAGCCTTGTTCTTACAAAATATGTCAAATTCGCTCACTATCAATGACCTTTTTTCTGGTGAAAGATTCTAATGACATTATTACATTTCTTTCACGCAGCGAAAATGTCCTAAGTGCCTGCTATGTTGACATCAGAGATACTTACTACTCTTTACCACATGAAACGCTGCTACGGTGCGTTGAGGACTGCATTGATAACTTTGGTTCAGTTGATTTCCAGAATTCGGTGGCCATCACAGTTAGCGGCTTTCTTGAGGTCGTTGGCTTTTACTTTAAGGCAACTTTCGTATCATAGAATGAAGGCACTTATATTAAAAAAAAGAGCGTGCATCGGTTTATTCATAGCGTCAGTTTTAAATGACATTTTTCTCGCTTACCATGACCAACTCTTGGCTAGCCGCTTCGACAAAACGGCCGCCGTAAAGGTTTTTTGTTTTGTAGACGATTTTCTCGTGCTTTTTGGCTGCGATGATAGGGGCTTCAAAGCTGCCGTTTCAAACACATTATATTATGTTTTTTCGATGAGCGTATGACACCTTTAGTTTTGACGCATGAGCTGTCACAGGATGCTTCGTTAAGATTTTTACACTGGAGATTAAAAATCTCAAGTGATCACCTGTGCTGAGAATAGGAGCCTAGCGGAGGCAAACCACTTCTACCGTACTTGTCGGCTCATTCGAAGCTATTAAAGAGAGAAATTGCTAATCACTGTTTCAGAAACGCTCTCCACAAGTCTTACACTCATTGATCAGCAGCTTTGTTGGGCAGGCTTCTCGACTGATACGCTCTGGTTCCCCGGATCATGTGCTGGTCTCAGTGGGGGAAAAGTTGCTTAGGACCATTAAACAGGGACACAGGGACGTAAAGCACTAATGAAATAAGTATAGCCAGTAACTCAAAGCTTGTGGCTGTGACTTCTTATCTACACAAGATTTCTCACACTTTGAAAAAAAAAATAGCTGATAAGGTTTATATGAAGGTTGTTTTCTCTGCCCCAGAAAGGCTTTGCGCTCTGTAAGCATGTGAATGCGTGGTCTACACGAAGGAGCTGCTGCAAAATCAAGCATAGGAGGCTTTTCATGGCATGCGTGATTGCTGTCGTGTACTTGATCCCGTTGTCATGCAGCAAGATGTGTTCATCTTGCCGCATGATGCGCCAGCGTGCAGCCAACCAACATGAAGGTATTGTCGGCAGCCGGGCGTATAGGTCTGAAAACACGGCCAGAAACCCGTAACACGCTCCCCTTTTGCAGGATGCTTCTTCCAAGCGAGTGAACGCGAAAGCAATCCGCTCCTGCACAACCTGCTTATTTCATCGTATAGTCGCGTTGCGTTCACTGAAAAGTGATGCGAGCATCCGCGGTGCATACGTGACGGGTGCCATATACACAATTCCGGTGGTTCCCGAGACGTCACGCTGACAGGAAGCCGCTCGCAAGGTCAAGGCGCTCGCTGCTCCGCATCAGGGATCACACAGCGAGTGCGACATTTCTCATTCAAGCTGTTTTGCGCATATATATACCGGCCGCCCACCACTTCCTTGAACAGCGAGCCCCGACAGACTCCGCGTTGTCCCTGCCCCTTCCTCCGCTTTCATCGCAACCGAAAGGACAGCCCACTCAGAAATGAACATGGACAGTCCATTCATCAAAGGTGAGTGCTGTTGTACAGTGACTAACCCCAAGCACGCTCAACCGAGGGATTAGCAAAACCTGAAACGGGACAGTGGTGGTTAAAATATCCTTTGACGTGTGTCTGCCGTATATGATGTGTACCTAAGTTGGCAATTTTTGTAAAGCTTGGACACAGCGTTGACAACGATTCAATGCATCCGGCGAGATGTTTGTATGTCCCCGAAAAGAGCCCATGGTTCCCACAAGTGTCGTTAACAAATTTGCACGCGTGTGCGATTTGAAGAAGAATGGTGCTTCCTTTTCTTTTCCTGACTGATCACCTTTACGGTGCACAATAAATGACGCTGGTTGCGTGGCGCTGCGTGCCCGCAACAAAAAAACTCTGATTATCCCTTCGGACTTGGCATTTAATTCTCCCTTGCTCTTACACGTTGCGTCATTGATTACTTAAGCGCGGACGGTCGAAACTTCTTCTACTACTACTTTCCTCGTCTATTGAGCCAGGTGTCAAATTAATGTCACAGTTGTTGCCGACGGAGAGTGATGTGATGCTACCTGTGACGTAAACGAGCGCTGGTAACACTACACTGTAAGTAAACACTTGGCGTGTGGCCAGAAATACTGCAGCGGTGACCTGCATATGCATTCTATACTTGTTAGTCAATCTTGTTCCCGGGCGTTTCGCCTGTTTCGACCTGTTACGAAACTGCGTCTGATGTGATTGCTGCCTCTTAGACCACGGTTTCACATAGTCGCTTTCAGCATGTGTGACTCGATACGTAAGGTGCTCGAATTCATTTATTTGTTTGTTTATTTATTTATTTACTTATCTATTCACTTATTTGCAAGTACCTTACAGGCCTCACAGAACAACTGTGTAAGGGGAGCCGATACGAAGTAAGAACGAATTGGGTTAACATCTAAATAAAGCCAGTACACAAAAAGTAAGAACGATGTAGAATAACATAAAAACAACGGCAAGTACAACAAAATATTCCAAAGTACAAGAGTAGTCATATGTATGTAAGATGAATAGGCAAGTTTGAAACATGCCCACAAAAAGAAAAGCAACAAAGTACTGGACAGACTGAATACAAGAGCAGTGCAGTGAAGCAGGTCGTACACTTTACCGGTACTAATTGGAATATTGAACAAAACTTGCAACAAAAATATGACCGTCTGATAAAATGTAATGAAAAAAAAAGCAGGTCTCATGTCCAGTGGGAATGAATGATATACGAAGCACGAATGAGGAAGGTTCACATGTCAATTTAATATCACCACAGCGTTACGAGGCGCATGAAAGTAGTACACAGTAAACACAAGTAGAAATGTTATGCGCACTCAGGTATCTGCATAAGATGCAAGTATGTTGTCGCGTTACGACGGCACTCCTTACGTTTGCAACATCAGCCTCAGCAGTACATGACTTCCCTTTCACGATTGACATGTTGGCGCTTGGCATTTGTGCTCGTCATCCATTCACGTCACGTAACACCAAATTTGGTATATGTGAACATAGCGAAACGATCTTGAGCGCATCATGAGCGTTGCATGTAGTCATGTTCTTACATAACAAGCATTTCATGATTATCGTGTTTAAAACAGTCATTTATTTTTGTCATCCATTCGCGTCACGTAATACCAAATTTGGAATATGTGAAGCTAGCGAAATGACCACGAGCGCACCATTAGCGTACGTCATTACTTACATGACATGTATGTGATGATTTCCACGTTAGGACTCTTCAATTATGTTTGCCATGCAGTACTATCATACCATACCAGTTTTGTAATATGTCATAAGAACGAAACCACAGCAGGAGCAGCAAGTCCATGACATGTAAATCATGACATACATGACAGACATGTCATGATCTCCATGTTATGACTAGTCACTTATGCTCATTATACAGTCATGTTATGGCATACCAATTTAGGTATACACCCCATTATCCAAACGGCCAGGTGAGCTAAAAGTCGTAGGTGGCTAGATAGATAGATAGATAGATAGATAGATAGATAGATAGATAGATAGATAGATAGATAGATAGATAGATAGATAGATAGATAGATAGATAGATAAGCTCGAAGTCACCGAAGTTCCCTGAGAAATGCTTCGCATTTAAACAAAAATAAAAGTGGGATGCATGAATGATGGGAACATGAGCAGCTAAGAAATAACAGTGAAATGATTAATAAGATACTGGCGAACTTTATCGTGATTAGGCTGAAGAGCGGTGCTGTTTGGGAGATCGCTCCACAGCTGTATGTAACGTGGAAGGGACGAGTAGTTCAAAACATTAGTGGTGCCGTCGCTGAAATCATTTTGTAGTATGTGCGATAAGTGAGAATAACGTTGTAATTGTGCTAGCGGCGATTGAGTGGCACTGGCATATTTATCAAGAAAAATGTTCAGACGTATTGTTAATGAACGGAGTGTAAGTTCGACCTTTACATGGGTTACGCTGGACAAGTTGTTATAATTTTGCGTGATGATAGCACAAGCTCTGTTCTGGAACTTTTGTATTACATATTTTTGATGAGGTGACCAAATGAATGGTGCCTACACTCTAACTGGGTTCGGACAAATGTTTGGTAGGCCTGTTTACGTAGGTGTGGGATAGACGGTTTTAATGTCATAAGCGTTGTACCTAAAAAAAAAAAAACTTCCGGTTACCTCATTTACCAGCTACTATTGTCAAAACTGAAAGCACGTTTTCAATTTCTTTTCAAGCGTAGAAAAGTCTCTCTCTCAGTTTTCACATAAAAGAAACGTGTGCAAAGTACAAGGCAATGTTTTACAGTATTTATGTAGCTCAAAAACAGTTATTTGATATATCTTGCCAAACAAGGAAAGGAAACTAAAAAAATCAGCGGGCTATTTTTTAAAGATCTTGTGGTCCACGAATGTTATAAAGCACATCGGTGGACAAACGGGAAGTCAAGGAGCTCTGTTTGTAAATCTTGAAAAGGTCTATAGTGGATTGTAGATTGCCACAAAGATACTCCAATGATCTGAAAGCATTAGCAGAAACGGTAGTTATATAATCGACCCAAGAAAGATTTGTGTTAGGTGAGTGACTAGATGATCATACCATGTGGTTCTAGCCAATGTGTGATTAGTGATATTATAAGAAAAGAGCGAACGGACTGATTCAGGCCTACGCGTGGAATTACACCGAGTTTTGGTCGCTTAATTAAGGAACATCCAAACGAATGCTACAAGTTTTGCCGATGTGGGCCGAGTTGCAAACGCACGCATTCTCTACAGCGACCGAAGGTGCACGCACACCACCAGAAGGATCTAACCTCGCTACTTTTTACCCGCGATTACGAAAGGAAGCGAGATGTAGTAAAATAACGACTGTAAACTCCCGTTGCCCCATGTTACAATAGCCTATGAGACAGAAGTGCTGAAATTAAATGAAGCAGCGGAGTAAACTGCTGGGCAATAAACAAGAAAGGCGTTTTAAGAACACACATATGAAGCTTTGAAAGTACACAAAAGTGAAAAAAAGTTATTTTGACTGATGAATTATCTCAGGAACACTCCGCTTTCGATAATTTAACCATCATAGGTTTACGAATAGAAAATAACATAAAAGTAAAAGTTTAATTTTTTCAATTTCGTGCCTATAACTCAGCTTATGATTGTCAGCGTAACGACACAGATTTCAATGACTTATAGCAGGCGTGGTCATAGTCTATGACATCGTAGCAAGTTGGTAAGGGAAGTTTGAGGCGGCGTCGCCATCTCCATTTTCTTTGTAACCAAATGGTGCTTTTGGCATTGTGAAAGACTAACCTAACAATAAGGGAAAGAAAGCATTGTTTCTTTTAATGTGCCTTCAAAATACTAATTACAAGAGGAAAGCATCTCATGAAACCATCGTTATCTAGAGTGCAGAACAAATTGTCCCTGATTTTTCTTCCTATATCATATACTGCTCAAAACGGGCTGCCAATACTGACGGGAGAGAATATGGGTGTTTGTATTTTACCCGGAGTTGAAAATAAGTGAAGGAGAACGCTCTTTGAAAAATAAAACCACAAGAGAAAGCTTGAGTAAGTATGGGTGTCAATGGAGCTTCCTCACATTCAGAGTAAGCATATTAGGAAAATTCCGGTGGCCCCATAAGGCTTCCTAGCAACCGAACTACACACAGACATGTCGATCTTGATCTACGATGCAAAATATCCGCGTGCTGCTTCCTATATGCATTTTTTTGCAACTTGAGTTTGCTTACACCGTAATACAAGCATGGTGCGCCCTTGCAGGGCGCTCCACTTCCAGATTCTACAGCAAGAATAACGTGGCTCTGATAGAATAACTCACAAGAAGTAAAAATTGTAATAGAGAACACAAGACAAAAAAAAAAAAGAAAAGGAACCAGACTGAATAAGTAGCCGTAATCTAGATTGAACGTAAGTGAGTTTGTATAGGCCAAGAAAGAGCGCAGAACGCAAAACTCTCTATTGGCTACTGCTTCTGCATTCTCACTCCACGCACCAATTCAATGGGCACGAAGTCTATTGAGGACGATGCCATTTCACCGCGCGACCAGGCTGGCCAAGCCGCGCACGACTGGCGTCAGTTCAGCCATCTCGAATCGTAGAACGTGTTTTGTGGTTGCGCATAAGCGTCGCGTTTCCTCACTCAACTTTCTTTTCGTTTCTGCGCGCACGTTTTGGTCATTTTAAAATCCGTTTCTCCTCGGCAGTGATCGTACTCGCCTCAAACATGCACCGTTTTTTGCATAGTGTGTAATAATATGCCTGTGGAAACCGTCCTATATATACTCTTGAGGCCCGTGGAGTGCTCAGAAACACAATCGTCTTGCGAGTTGTTTTTCATTACATTCAGACATGCGCTACCACAAGAAAACTTTTCTTTTATTTTTTTACATGTCACCGCTTGGCCATTGGAGCTAACTTCTACGCGTGCAGGGACAAGTAACCGTATACACACAGAGAACTAAGGCCCCACTTTAGGCTGACCGCTATTTTTGTCCCGAA